GGAACATGACAGTGAACACATTCCGGTTGAGGCTCTCGCTTCAAAATGAAAATATGAGATAAAAAAGTATGACCAATGCGAGAGCGACACAAAACAACTTCATCTCTCCTGTTAGACCTGTAGGAGCTTGGCCATTCTCCAAGGAGAGGCTTTATGTGATGAAGTTTGTTTGTGCCTGCAAGATCCCAAGACCGTTGCCAGCGGTAATAAATAAAATTATTTATACAGGATTTAAAATCCGTGTATGGCGTTAAAAATTCGAATAAGGGAAGATCTAAGGCAGATCTGCTTGATCATTCCCTTTTATATCCATGTGACTGGGGAGCCAGCAAAGGACAATGTCCTTGCTGATGAACTCGTTTGATAGTAACAGACCATAAATGTCTGCTACTAATGGGTGTTCAAACTGTTTATTATTTATTGCTTGTAGTGAGGACAAAGAATCAGTAAAAATTATATATTTTAAATCAGATGTTGATTGAATGAACTCCAAAGTCTGAAGAATGGTAATTTTGTGAAAAGAGCCGTATTTCGCCATGGACACGTGCATAATTTGCGACAATAACCTAAATAATGGTGGGATGTTGTCAAGCTCAACACCAAGGGATCGAATGTAATCAATCAGGCTGCTCAGCTTCACCAGTTGGAGAGACAGAGAGAAATGGGGTTTTACGTCCACTCGACACAAACTAGGTCATTTCGGGACTAACACATGATTTAATTTTATTTCAATAATTCGCTTGCGCGTAGAGGTATTTAGCAGTGGGAGGACCCGGAAAAACCCCACGAGGTTGGACAGGCGACCCTACTCCTTGCCACGTACAACCGGGGATTCGAAACCACGCCAGTTGACTCAATGATAGACTTTATGGTACAGCGCGCACGTGCTAACCATTCAACTACCCAAACCCCCTTCACCAGTTGGACATTTCGATCAGCCCGCTTATTCTTAGATCTCTAAGACACTAGAACTCACTGCACGTCAAACCCGCTTATTCGGTATCAAAGGAGTTAGTCCGGTCGTCAAACCTCAATATTTCGAGTGAATCTGGAAATTGTCCATAGCGTATTTATTTAGGATTGATTTTAGTAGCCTATGTTGTCCTCTTCCAGAATCTTCTGGGTGAACTCCGGTCACCTTTGAGCGTTTTGCGAAATTCAAGATGGCGTCCAAGACGGCCGCTATTTCTAATAATGCCCCGTAACTCCCATAGTATATATTTATTCTAGGACGATAATTTTGGTGTCAAGGAATACACTGAAATCATTCATTATGTTGTGGGGTGATTAGATGATAGTAAAATCTAAAATGCCAGACAATATGGCCCTTTAGCTAATTAGCGGCGGCTGGGGGCCATTATTTCACTAAACCAAACTATATCCAGAGACAAACTACATACTTCAGGATAAAGGAGCATATGAGTGATGTGATAACTGAAAAGGGGGGCACAAGCTGTTTTGTGAACATTTATACAAACACATTCTACCAACAAAACACGAAAATAACCCCCACAAAACTAGGCAATATTCAGTGTAATCCTTTGGTCGTATTTCTGGCTGCAACCTAAGACAGTACAAGCACAAACTACTGTACATTCTACGCCATCCGTAGTGCATCTACAAGCAAGCATACTGCATGAGGTGTCATTCGTGTATCCGCATCTGATGAGACACATGACAGACCCCGGAGCAAGTTGGCCGGTTGTAGTGTTATCAATTTAGCATCTTTCACCCAGCAATGGCTTGTTGATGAGCTCTTTTTACGTTCCCTGTAAATGCATTACTCATTGAGCAAGACTACCATGTTTGAGTGGGGATGATGACTTTTAGATGTCCATACCCACCAGCGTGTTTTAGGCATCGATTTGCCAGAACTCTGTCCATAACAAGCTGATATAAATACAGTGGCCTGTTTAAGCACCGATTCAACTACTCCGACGACTGAGAGAGAGAATACAACCAAACTCCCACCACTTCCAAAGCTGTAGCAGCATGTAACCGTGTCATATCGAGTAAGAGTATGGGCTGACAAGATTCCAATGATAATTGACATGTCAACCGTTGTTTCTTCTTTGATTGGTGATTCCAATGTCAATGGTTGTTTCTTCTTTGATTGGTGACACAATTGTGACGTGATTCTTGTCAGCTTGTTATGGACAGAGCTCTTGCAAATCGACGCCTGAAACACGCTGGAGGGTATAGGCATCCGGAACTGGAAATATATCGTCATCATCCACACTTAAACCATGTAGTCTTGCTCCAGCGAATGATGCATTCGTATGGAAAGTAAAACGATGTCACCGCCAGGCTATTGTGTGGCGTTCACTGGAAGATCGCAATCCACCGGAACTTGATCCAGAATGTATTGCTGGGTTAAAGAGACTAAATTGAGAACATTACAATCGGTGAAATTGCTCCTGTTGCTCATCAAATGCGGATGAACGAGTGACGCCCCAAATAGTACGCTTGCTTGTAGCTGCACTAGGGGTGGCTTAGAATGTATAGTATTTTGCACCTGTGCTGTCGCAGGTTGCAACCAGACACACGACTAAAGGATTAAACTGAATATTACCTAGTTTTGTGGGGGTATTTTCGTATTTTACGGGTAGAATTTATTTTTTTTAAATGATCAAAACACAGATTGTGCCCTTCTTTTCAGGGCCGTACCATGTGGCCCTGGACCACCTGTTAGGCATGTATGTAGTGTTATAGTATCAATCATATGCTCCAATGTCCATAAATATATAGTTTGGTCCGGTGAAATAAATATTGTCCAAACCGCCGCTATCGAGTTAAAGGGCCATATTGTCTGGCATTTTGCAATTTACTATCATCTAATCACCCCACAACATAAATGATGATTTCGGTGTATTCCTTGGCCCAAAAACATACGGTTAGACACCAAAATTATCATCCTAGACAAAATAGTATGGGAGTTATAGATGATTATTTGAAATGACGGCCGTCTTCGACGCCATCTTGAATTTCTCAAAACGCTCAAGGGTGACCCAGGTTCAACCGGCAGATTCTTAAAGAGGACACCATAGGCTACTAAATTCAATCATAAAACATATCTTTGTTTACAACTTCCAGGTTCAGCCACAGTTCTGCCGGACTAAGTGTTTTGACGTCAAAATAACGTCACACCATGACCTGCTGGCGTCGTGATAACCCTTTTCTTCCGATTCGTTGGTATCACTTTTGTATCTATTGATACACATTTATATGCTCTAAAACGAGCCGTTTCCAAGATATGGAAGAAAGAAAGTCCAATTGGCGGCCATCTTGGATTTATGTGAATTATGAAAAAAGCTACAGGGTTTCAGCGGACAATTTTGAGTTGGGAGTCCTTAAGACATCCCTTTACTAGATTCCAGTGAAAGAAATTCTTTTGCAATTTGTTCTCGGTACTTGACAAACAGAAATTATGTCTCTCCGTCTATATGGGGAGAAAAGGCAAGATGCCTAACACACTACGAAGATGTAGGCCACCAATGGTCATAAGGTAACGGCCATCGAACGATTTTTCTTATTGTCATATTCCTGAAGCAATGGCTCGATAAATCCCTCTCTGGTCATTGTTGGATTGACTTTTGATACTTGATCTATTTAGGGAGTGTGTCTATTCTTCCCGTTCAATCAAATATATCCCAAGTACAGCAACATGACAGCCCTTCGTTTAATCTGGGGTCTACACTAAAACTTTGGACAGTGATTAAAGGTATAAAAACCGCTGAAAGTATTGGTCGTCTCCATACAGATTAATGTATTGTTTACATTGCATCCGTGTTCATAGCCTCGTTTGTCACGCAATTAATTTTTCTGCAATATTCTGCTATGCACTGGTTAAAATCGTGAGTCATCACGTAACGTTATGTAAACATATTTGGTCCAATTTGGACCTCTGTGTAAATCGTAATGATATTGTTACGCAGCTAGCTATTGGTTGTTAATCGGACTATTGACGAGTTAAAATTTGGAACAGAAATTTGTTTCCTTTACAGCAGTGTTAAGTGAGATTAGATCTAATCAAACGAAACACCACGAGGAGTATGTCTAATCGTATGTTTGCTGGATTCCTCATTAGTGTATGGTGACTTATTGTTTGCCAAGTTCAAATCGGCTCACCACTACGTTGAATTTGCAGAACTGTTTAGCAAGACTTGTTTTGGAAATTTATTGTTCCGAGCTTTGTTTTTCGTTGTATGTTTCTGATCAAACGAAGATGTATTTTTTTTTTGATTTCCTAAAATAAATATTATCTTTATTTTAAAAAAAAATACAATTAAATTAAACAAAAATACAATTTACAAATATGATATAACAAATGTCTGATTTATAAACAAATATTGATTTTAAGATACAGATGTCAGTTTTAAGATACAAATGTCGAAATACGATAACAAATGAAGGAAGATGAATTAAGATCTAACAATACGGAAAACTGAATAAAGACATGTTTGGTATTCTATAAATATATGGCCAAAACACAAAGATCGTCATTTTTACTAAATATTTTTCCTTTTTCGTAATATTTTTCTGTTTGTAAATCGTAAGTGCATATGTAGTAATATATAAAATGGCAGATATACTTTTACATAAATGGCATTAATACATAAAATGGTATTTATGTTTATACATAAAATGGTATTTATGTTCATACATGAAAAAGCACTATACATGTATTTACACATAAAATGGTATTTATGGTCATACATAAAATGGTATTTATGGTTTTACATAAAATGATATTTATTTTTTATACATAAAATGGCAAATTTTTTATACATAAAATGGCAAATTTTTTATACATAAATTGCTTCTGTTCAGAGTGGATATTATTACCTATACATCGATTGTACATAAGACTTTAAAACTGTTCATAAATGGCACTGAAGCTATCAAATCATCTACAATTTAGATTTGTCTGTGTAAATTTCTGTGTGTGGTACCCCCCCCACCCCCCCGACACACACACACCCCACCCCACCTCGACCCCCTACACTTACTATTTATGTAGCAACAATTAAGCTTATGTTCGATTTTGTGTTATTTCATTGGCTGTTCCTGGTTGTACACTATCATCATTGGTATTGATATTACCCATATTGTAATAACCAGTGTGTTCTCTTGTGTTTAATGAATCATAAACAGCTTTGATTCCATTTGTGTCCCTGTCTGGAGTAGAGTATGTGTGTTCATAATCTTGATTGTTCGTGTTGATTGGTGTACGTCCATTGTCTGTAGTTGAGAATTGACTATCATCAGTGGTATCGATGTTACCCATATTATAGTACCCAGTTTGTTCTCTTGTATTTAAAGAATCATACACAGCTCTTGGTCCATCTGTGACTTCACTTGGAGCCGAGTCATATGCATGTTCATAATCCTGAGTTGTGTCGGTGGTTGGTGTTTGTCCATTGGTTGTGATTGAGAGTTGATGTTCATTAATGTATTGTGTCTGTTCATCTGTCTGTAGTCTAGTATTAACTGAATAATAAACAGCTGTTGGTTGATCATTGACTCTAGTTGGTGGTGAATCATATTGGCGTTCGGTCTGTGATTTCAACTTATTCAATCTCCTATAATTATTGAATGAAGATAAATAAAGTGTTATTATTTTACTAGACTGCGTTCAGACATAATACGTGATTATAACAATCTGAATAAAATACAGATCTATATTTCGTTTTGGTTTTTATATTTTCATTAGCCCACGCTACATGAAGATCTGACCAGTTGTACTTGGAGGTCGTGTCAGCGGTCATACGAGCAACGTTTGACCTATGACGTCAGACATTGATTAATCAATTAGTGTTGACATTTCTAGGGGGCTTACCCACAGTTTACTCAAGGAATCGGCGTAACAGACCGTTTCATTGGCTAATTCCTCACATCAACTAGAACGCCTGTTATATAACAACTCTTCCAGATCCTATCGTTGTGAAGACAAGTATAACAGAATTTTGAAATATATAAACGAAACGAAATAGGATCAGTGTTTCAATCGAATTGTGCTTATAAGTATATAAATGTTGTTGAACGTTAATGGCAATGGATAGTCAGTCACGTGGTTTACAGTCTACTCAATTATATCTCAATGATTGTCTTTCTACTAGGTTTCTTACCTCACGGAATATGTTAATAATATTTGTTAGGTTTCATGGGTTGTCATTAAAAAGCAGATTACTCATGACAAATCACAATTCAATCCTTTTGTTGTTGTTTCTTTCATATTGCCTTTACAATGTCATGCGAGTACCCATGAATGAACGAATGTTTCATTGTGTACATATCAAGCGAGAATTAAACTATATGTTGTATGTCATATGAAACTCACCTTTTTTATAAAGAATATGACAACACCGACAATACCAATAACTAATAAAAGACCGACTATACCACCAACAATAGCTCCTACATATGTATCTAAATATAATAATGTACATTATACATATATAACCCTAACTAACCAATAATAACACCGACATTTGAAGATAGATACACATACACAAAATATGCAAATATTAATATTTTGTTTTTGTATGTTTTACAATAGTTTATTCTTTTAAAGGAACGGCTTTTGCGACACCCCTCACTTGCCTTCTGTCCGTTTAGAATAGAGCTGGGGAAAATGTTTCTTATGTTAGGAAATGTAATTATATATTTAACTATTCTTGCATATAATACTGACCTGTTTCACTTCTAGTAGTTAACACGAAACCTAAAACACAAAGGAGGGATCTTAAATATGTCTATGTAACATGTTTTAATAACATTGATGGTGCTGATTTCTTTTACAAAGTTGGTATCTATTGAAATTCACAAATTAGATCCACAGACAAGTGTACAAGATATAACTAGAATTAAAACTAGCATAAACGGGTGATTTCAATTACCTGTTGTTGTACTGTCTGATGCCGGAGTAGGTAACTCTAGAAATAAACAAAGAGTTGATCTATATTAATATAATTGATACATCAATATCTTATACTTGTAATTCATAGACAATCCGAGTCACTGTGTATATATGTATACATAGTGTTTTAACATCTCTAATTAATAACAAAATTAAATTAAATTTGAACATCTTAACTTGTCGAATTTTGTTATTATAGAAAACATTACATACTACACTACACATTAACTGAAGAAAAACAATATACCTTGTTAATTTAGTCTACAATACTGGGATAATCATCTATTTATTTTAAACTTACTGATTGCAGAACACATATTCTATCTGACTGTAAGAATGACATATAACATAAACATACCGTTTGTTGTACACAGATATTCTATCTTGCTGTAGGAATGAATTATAGGGATACCATTAAAACAATATGAAGATCTTTCATCCAAGCCATTATTTCTATAAAGTGTACAAGTTGATCTACCATTACATGTTTGTTGTAGTTGTGATAGAAGAGTTTGGTTGTAAGGTGTAAAACAATCTCCAGGTTGTTCTCTACAACATGTTGTATTAATACAGCTCGATACAGGTACACAGCCTTGTCTATATCCAAACGTTATATTAGTTATTGATATAGCCAATGGTTCTGTACAGATTAGTTTATGTTCAGTACATCCTCCTATACCTGGTGAACCATAACAAACTGTACTAACGTTAGCCATTGTTTCTGAAAGACAAACAAAGTACGATGCAACTCATAGCTATGAAGACCAGGATATTTCCGAGTCAATTTGTTTTTATGGAAACATAATGTTTTGATATCTATAATTAATTACAAAATTAAATTTAATTTGGGAATCTTAACGTGTCATTTCAACGAAAATAGTACATAATAAAAAAACATTACAGTATACACTACACATTGACTGAAGAAAACCAGTCTACCTTGTTAATTTAATATGGGCATCTTAATTTGTCGAGTTTTGTCATATCAACGGAAATAGTACATTATAGATAACAATACCTACTACACTATACCGGCCTACCTTGTGTATTGGTAGGATAAGGTGAAGCTTGGCTAGATGATAATTTAGTAGAAACAGTGGTCGGCGATGTAGTTTCAGTTGTTGATTGAGGTGTTGAAGGAGGGGCTGCAACATCATGTAAAACAGATAACACACTTTTAGACTATTTTGTATAGCCTAAGGATTTTGCTGTGTAAAGCCATTAACAAACAGATGTATGATAGAAACAAATGTGGTAGTAGCCACTTACAGACTATACAAATACCAATATATGTATTTTTTAGCGGATTGAATACATAGAGGTATACATGAATTATAATAATATTGAATGTGTGTTTGTACGCTAGACTGCCACATTTTGTTATTATATCAAAGTGTATATAACCTCGAGATTAAATTAATATCAAATAGACTAATGACAAGGTAATTATGGAACTATCCATGCAGGCGTAGCTTATAAAGTGTATCCTTTTATGTTGTATTTATAATACTGAACACATATGGTTTAAAATATTGAAATCAAATCGTGTCGACATTATGACTATTATGAGCTGATGACTTAACGATAATAAAACATACATCGAACATTACTCCAGTGAATTTTTCTATAGGACGATAGAAAACAGATGTTACTTACAACTATGTGTACCATAATTACATTTTAAATAAAGTAATATATCTGAATCATGTTATTAATGTGTACCATAATTACATTGTAAATAAAGGAATATATTTACATCATGTTAATAATGTGTTCCATAATTACAATGTACATAGAGGAATATATACTATTCAAAAAAAGTAGGGGATATTTGATTTTGGGGGCATAATACTAAAATATGTAAATGACTACGAAAAAAGTCACTATAGAACCTAACAGAAGAAACATTTCCAGTTACATGTGACGCCCAAACGCACCAATAGCTACCGCATGGAATGCAGGTGATGCTTGGGATCATCATGGGGGTCCAACCCAAGATTTGCACGACTCTGACTTTGAATGTTACAGTCATTGTGGCATTGAATTCCAGGGTGGAAACATCAGTTTAATTGTTTAAGTGACCAGAAAACAAATTTTGATATGCGTCGGCTTACCCAAAATGAAAGGTTACGTGCCCTTGGCATGCTACAGATCGGCACAACACAGGCGGTTGTGGCGCGGACGATGAATGTTTCTCAGTCTGTCATAAGCAGGCAATGGTCCAGATACCGTGATACACAATCTGTACAGGACAGACCACGCTCAGGTCGACCAAGGGCGACAACTCAAGCCCAGGATCGATTTATCCGTACCTTGGCCTTGAGAAATCGTGTCATCACAGCAAATCAGATCAGCGCTCGTCTTCAAACAGACACTGGTGTGAGAGTGAGTGGCCAGACGATTCGGAATCGACTGCATAGGGGTCACCTTCGCGCCCGACGTCCTCGCGTGATCCCTTGTTTGAGAGATCATCACATTCAGGCAAGACGTCGTTGGTGTAGGGATCGTCAACACTGGGATAATCGACGCTGGAGCAATGTGATGTTTTCAGATGAGTCAAGGTTCACTGGACAGACGTAGGAGGGTGTGGCGTCGTCGAAACGATCGCTTCCAAGACGTTAACGTCATCAGACATGATCGATTTGGGGGCGGTTCTGTTATGGTGTGGGGAGGCATCACTGTTGCTGGAAGAACGGCTTTACATGTTGTTGCAGGGCGTGTTACAGGCCAGTACTACCGGGACAACCACTTGGCAGTCCATGTTGTGCCGTTCGCACGACGTCATGGCCGCCGTTTCATCTTCCAGGATGACAACGCAAGATGTCACAGGGCCAGGATCGTTACAGGTTACCTCCAACAACAGAACATCACCACATTACCTTGGCCAGCACTGAGTCCCGACCTCTCCCCCATCGAGCATGTCTGGGACATGCTTGGACAGAGGTTACGTCAACGTCAACAACGTCCTGCCAATGTCCAAGAACTTGCTGCTGCGTTGCAACAGGAATGGGACAATCTGGACCAAAATGACCTTAGACGTGTCATTAGGAGTATGCCACGTCGGATCAATGCTTGTTTGGCAAACAGAGGAGGATTTACCCGTTACTGACTTGGTTGTGATGCTGTGGTAACTTTGCTGTTTGACCCCGGGTATCATTTTACCCTTATAATGGTCAGTCTGTGCCTTACTTAGTCTAACGATCATTTGGAATAAATCGATGAATGTGAACTTCATTTCATTTTGTCATTTGTTTCTTCGTCAGTTTCATTAGGTGACTTTAATAACACTTAAAAATCAAATATCCCCTACTTTTTTTGAATGGTATATTTGAATCATTTTATTAATGTGTTCCATAATTACAATGTAAATAAAGGAATATATTTACATCATGTTAATAATGTGTACCATAATTACAATGTAAATAAAGTAATATATCTGAATCATGTTATTAAAGTGTTAGAGCATCATGATTCGTATAGAGTATCTCTTGCAACTCAAAACATTTTATACAAATTTATATCTCGTCCTTTCATTGCCTTCATGATAATACTGGTAAACATTAAGCGGTTGACAATATCTTCTAATGTAGTCTACAATACTGGGATAATCATCAGTTTATGTTTAACTGGCAGTTTGTAACACACTGATATTCTATATTTCTAAATGAATGAAATATAACATAAACTTACTGTTTGTAATACACTGATATTCTATCTTGCTGTATGAATGTTGTATAGGAATACCATTAAAACAATATGAAGATCTTTCATTCAAGCCATTATTTCTATTAAGAGTACAACTGGATCTATTACAGGTTTGTTGTAGTTGTGATAGAAGAGTTTGGTTGTAAGGTGTAAAACAATCTCCAGTCTCTTCTCTACAACATGTTGTATTACCACAGTTAGATATACCAATACTACTACATCCTTGTCTATATCCAAACGTTATATTAGTTATTGATATAACCAATTGTTCTGTACAGATCAGTTTATGTTCAGTACATCTTATACCTGGTGTACCAAAACATGCTGTACTAACTTGAGCCATTGTTCTGTCTGTAAATACATTTATATTCATTTAGTGTATAACATTATTATTAGGTATTATAAATCATGCATGCGTTGTGTGTCTTCTATTGTCTAATCAATTACATATCAAGGTTTGTTTTTCATGACCTTGATTTGTCTTTCTATCCAAACGACTAGGCGTTGCTCTGTGTCTGTCAAGAGGAAACCAATACAGAAAATCTAGAAGGGTATTTTCGACCAACATAGGGATTGAACTGTGGATCTACTGGCTAGCAATCCACCACTTTACTCACTTATCCCCCGAGGCGCCACGATATTATTAGAAGGTAAAACGTCAGCAAATTTGAGTTTTGAAAATGCCATTCAAAGTATGTCGGTTACAGTTTGACGGGTCTATCCAAGATCAATTAAACTTATATTGCTCCCATCTACAAATGCTAAATAGATGTACTGAAACGTTTTACTTACTTAAAAAATATAAATTGTAAGAATAGACAACAGACTAAAACCAATCTGGTTAACATCTTGTAACAAATTAACACAGCTCCCCTGAAAACATAAAAACAACATCAACATGATTTAAATTCATTAATCAGTGGTCATGGTCTGAATGTGGTCTAGTAATAGGGAATTTGGAAAACGTATGTATTAAATTGTATTAAATAGTATATTGAGGTATGTAATTATAAAGTGAAAGCAATTAGATGACTTAATATTAAATTTGAATTTATCATTATTATAAGCTTGCTAATACTAGGTAATGTAGATTATACATATAAAACATATCATAACATACCTATAGCATATTTATTGACAAGCTATTCTCAATTTACAGCTGAAAGGAAGATCATAATAATGTTCGCACCACAAAGACTTGAAACTTTTAAATAACCGCATACATTGTATATACAGGTCTATATATCTGTATAGTACAGTGGTATATACCACGATACCTATATAATATAGTGGTATATAAACCACGCTACGTGTATACATATACCTGACTAGGAAGTATATACAGTGTAAAGTATGGTATGACTTGATGTGTTATTGCGATAATAAAAATAATCAAATGGAAAACCCGACATCATTTCCTTTACCTGCATAACTATTTAGTATACAAAATCGGGTTTCCGCCAATCAGACTAATCCATATCCATCACATGACATGCATGGGGGACGCTAAAAACTCAACCATTGGTTATATGTAATCTTCACTCTGGACAAAATATTTGACACAAAATCAGACAGATGAGACCATATAACAAACTGATTAAGGAACAACTCATTGTGTTCCGTAATTGAGATATGAAATACATACATTCCATTGTAGCATCAGTCCTTCCAATAATGGTAAGTATCTACCACACATATTACAACGTGGTGAAGATAAGTCTTGGTGTAATAATACACGTAGATCTGTAATAATAATAAACAATTAAAACAATCACTAGCTAGCTATGTGAACTCTCCAAATGAGAAGACATGATATTGTATAATCTACTAGATCTGTAATGATATCAATAAATTAAAACATAAATTAGTTAGCTATGTGAATTATCCAAATGAGAAGATAACTACATTTTAAACTTATTATAAATTAATGTCCTAATATGTGTCTGTCTTTAGATATTGGTATAATTGCATGTATTATCAATAACATTGTTTAATACAATATAATAGGAATGGGTATTCACATGTAAAGTCCATTGATGTTACAATACAGATTAGTGGATTCAACATTATTAAAGTTGTAATAAACAGTATGTTGACATCGTCAGATAAACGTGTGATATTATCATCACTAGTCACTCTATTAATTGTAAACATGTGGTACCCTTTGTATTGCACTACCTCAAATATAGCAATTTGTAAATTTGGTGAAATATGTTGATCTGTAATGATAACAAATACTTAAAATCGGGTTCCCTTTCCAAAATCTCCAAATGAAGAGACATGCCATTGTAAACAGAAATGCCCTAATGACACTCAAAGAATGATTATGTGTTAAATATATCTGTATTGTTGTTAGTATCATCTACTGACTATGGTTTTAGATATGAAATTATATGTATCATTCAGTATTGAAATAGATGAGGCCTCAGTATCAATCAGAAATGAAATGAAATGAAATGGGTATTAACGTCCTACGGTTCTGCTCCGACTGGGCTAATGACAACGGATATCTATCAGAGACAATCTATCGAAGACCAAATGTTGTTATGTGAGGTTGTGAGAGGATATCTGATAATTCAAAAAATTAATTGAATGTCACTAAATAATTAAGAGAACACGAGAAAAACAGAAATAGTCCGTACATTCCCTTGTTTTTATGCATTCTATTCATGGTAATGCACCGACTTTATATATTTTTCTATTGAAAGTCAATTATTATTATTTTTTTGGGGGAAGTGTCAGATATCCCCCACAGTCTCATATAACAACTTTTCGTCTTCGAAGGAATTATTAGTAAGCAGAAATTCGTCCGTGTATCTGTTATCACTCGTCACTGTAGTCAGTTCCATAGAAAATAACTTGTGTTTTCCATTTGTGTTCGTCACTTCCCGTTCCTGAAATCTTAGCAATGATCTCTGTGTTAAAATTATATTTGGAATGTGTTTAGCCAGTTCTATCACATATGCCATTAGTCAATATAGTTGAGCCTTCTTGAGCTACGTACACTTTCCAAGAGGCGATACACAACAAGATCCTGATAACCAACGACTTTTGGTGAAAAAAGTGTTAGATCATTACAGCATGTTTAATGTCAAATAGAAATATCAACAGTAATATTGTGGTTGAAACTTTTATAAAGACTAAATAAAAAGCATGTAACATTTTATACTAAACTGTTGTATAATTAATTTTATGTTGTTTATTTTTACACTATATGTAATACTAATATGCTTCCTTACTAATGCGTGCAAGGGAGATCATTGATGCATGTGCCTCATATTACACCTTTTAGTAGAATTTAGGATACGTTAAATAGATTGAATATTATATGTAACGACGGTTGTATAAAAAAAACGTTGAAAATAATATGCCACACTTGATAATAACACTACATTCACTAGACTTTAGCTATACAACTTCAATTGTGTCGAAATAGACCCAACAAAAAGTTGCAACAAAAAAAGGCGTATATGCGAAATATACAAAGAGCCTAATACTTTAAAAAATCATCCAACTGTTTTATTTCATTTAATGTGTTATAGAAACCAGTGACACACGATTTAAAGTTTATTTAACTGTATAACATCATATACATTTAACTTGATCGTAACTTGTATTTGTGACAATATGGATGTAGTACCACTACTGGTATTACTGTCGTGTCTAGGTAAGTTATCATCACCATTAACTATAAGTTATATTATTGACGCCCCTGGGTTGTCTTTAGGTTATAAAGTGTATTTACGTATTTTACATATAGATGATCATTAACAAGGTATATAACAAGGTTTTTATCACTTGTTCGTGTTTCATATCACCTACAAACCATTCTCCTGGTGGTTGAGCCACGGTGGATCAGTAAGTATAGTTACTTGTATGATGTGTGTAATATTTATTGTGTCTTCAAATCATCTTTAATTGTGGTTAATTATATACTTCTCGACAACTTAAAACTATCGAGGGTAAGAATGGGCCCCGGGCGAATCACGCTTCGTCAACGCGCTCCACCCCCATATATATGGTATAAACTTAACCAGCATCACCTTGTGAATGTTTTAGTTTATCGAATTTGGGGACCGGGCGAAATTGGGCCCCGGCGTATTGGGGAATTTGGTTCTGACTCTTGGTGAGTTTGCTTAGATAACCCTTGGATTGGGAATTGCTAATGATACCATTTGGTGTTATAGATTCTGCGAAACTGTTATCGCTGGGGTTTTTTTTGTTTGTTTTTTTGTTTTTATTTTTGTAAACTTGGTAGATTATATAGAAAATCCTGAAATTGTTACAAGAATAAATACACATGGAATAAAAGTAGCATTTAGAATTAAATATTAGATATTGCATGAGACCCAGGTGTCGGGATGGTACTTGATTTATGCAGTTTAATCTTCCCCACGTACGCTATGAAGTTTGAAATGGTAGAAAGTACATGCACGCAATGCAAGTTTTTTGAGTTATTCGAATTATTGATACAGACCGGTAAAGAGGATACCTACCAGGAGATCTCGTGTTCCATCAACGTGTTAGCGGAGAAAATTCTTTGGGAATTTCTAACCTGATATTCTCTTGTCATAAATGTATTTTGGGTGATTAATGGCGAGGTTAAAGTACCATTCGGCACATTCTAAATTTTTTGATGTGTGTGTCATATGCCCAGTGAATATGATACAGTAGATTACTGTTGTTATAGTTCATAGTTTTAACATATTCTATATTTCCAGATGTTGTAGTTACAATGAAGAAAAAACAAGGTTGTTTTACACCAGCTAGCATATCGTGTTATAATACAACACTATCATGTGATGACGATCAAATTATAGATCTACAGAATATAGAACTTATAGGTAGATGTAAGGGAAAAGACGGTTGTGTTGAACAAAAGGATGACAAGAAAGAATTCTATCAGTTTACCTTGAAAGATGTTATATCTATTTACAACCATTGTTCTTCTAAACACGCATGTACAATATTCTCACCACATGATGTTGGTGGAAATAAGGGTGACTACGATTACATGAAATACACATACCAGTGCTTGGAGGGTAAGAACTTACATTATTAATTAAACAAGGTAAATTCAAAAATCATCCTACAACAATCACTCTAATTAAACTATTATAATTGACAAATTAATTTAAACAATGTATATTATATTCGTTTTATACTATTAACCATAAAATGTTATATTTTGTTTTTATATTTAACATGTTATTCTTTATTATCGGGATTGGTAAAACTATTTATTCAGTTATTAGATGCTATTGGATCACAGTTGTATGCTTTCCTTAATAGAATGAAATTAGGAACGCTATCGTTCACACTCACTCTTATTGTCCCAATACACGGCAGATACAAAACATTTTTTTAGTAAAACAATGGCTGTGAAAATGTACACAGTATAACGGGATCTTATTTCGCAACAAACCTATGTCTTGTAGTATATTTTTCTATAGCAGTAAAAGGATAATGGGAATTGGGGGAAGGCCTACTGCGTGAGCCTGCGTGTGTCAAAAACAGGATTAATATCTTCTATGCACACGCGAGACCATTCTGTCGTCAACCCACTCATCCACAATAAGAGTAAAATCAGACCAAAACTAGAGGTATACCTTCTATAATAATCTAGGTTTTGGATGAAGACTATATTATACTGGATTTGCTATTAGGCTGACTGATAGTCCATGTTGACCATGCCATCAATATTACTACCACTGAATCTACACTACGCGAACACTACTACTACCACTAAATAACGGGGGCCACGGTGGCTAAGTTGGTAAGACGCTGGCTCACTCGCCTGGAGGTCGGGTGTTCGATCCCTGCATTGGCCGAGAAAGTTCATCCAGATTTTCCGATGTGGTCCCCCCTTGTCAGTGATGCAGAAGGTAGGGCCTGGCAAAGACAGCTTTCTAGTAGTTCGGATGGCACGGAAAGCCGAAGTCCCGTGTACACATTGGCGTGCACGTAAAAGATCCCTTGACAGTTGGAATACGATATAATAGTAGGCCGTACTGCCGCTAGCCGGGCAAAATTTCCCTCATAGCACACTGTATGGCGTATGTCCGTCTTCATTAGCCCAGTTCGGAGCAGAATAGTAGGAGGTTAAACCACATCTCATTCCATTTCACCACTAAATAACAACATTACATGTTATACGCTAACACTACTAGTACAAAATAACAAGAACTATTTTCAACAACATACTTAATAACAACATGTTATATTCCAGTTACTACCACAAGTACGACTGCTTCTACTACCATGGACACCACTTTAAGCAGCAACTTTAACTCTACCTTTCCTTCGATTACTGAAAACACCACAAACATACACATTGATAATAATAATAACAGTAGTACGGATGCCATCCAAGCAACGGATGATACCACTGCATCTACTACAACTTTAAGCAGCGACTTTAATTTTCCCACCCCTTCAACTACTGTTTATACCACAAACATACACATTGATGATAATAGCAGTACCACGGATGCCATGAAAGAGACGAATGTTACCACTGCATCTACTACAACTTTAAGCAGCAAGTTTAATTCTACCGTTCCGTCAACTACTGTAAATACCACAAATACAAACATTGATGATAATAAGAGTAGCACGGGTGTTATTACAGAGACGGTTTGTAATAATATATGTAGTAACACGGATACCATTAAGGAGACAGATGATAATAGTGTAATAACAGCTGTTGTAGTAACCGTTATTGTGGTGATAGTGGTAGAGGTTGTGGTTGTGTTAATCATCATCTATATCTACAGGTAAACTATCATTACATGTTAATATATATATATAGTAATCATAGTTACCCAATATAAAGATCAAAATAGAGAGCCATTTGTTTAAACTTGAGTATGACAATGATCAGAGCATCCGTCACCTTCCCAATTTGAGACATGAAACACACTCGTACTGATCGAGAAATCTATATGAATCTCCATTTTGTATTTTGCTTGTTTCCAGATTGATTTCTGTTCGGTATTGTTTTGTTTCTTTGAATAGAACATACGAAAGCCCAGATTAAGGATCATTCCAAAGTCCAAATGCGAAATTCCAAAGTCATGTCTTACCAATCAAATGAATCAAATAGCAAATTGGCAGCTGGGCTTTCGTAAGAACAAGTTGTCAGTAGTCATCGGAAGGGATATGTGACAGTGTAGAGTTTCATAGCTTAAGTTAAATTAATATATCAATTAAATTTGTATGATTTTGAAGACCATTGTGTCAATCAGAAATATTATGAGATAATAAGTATCTCGTAAATACGAAATAGTAAACGCCTAATGACCACCTAGTTAACTCGTTATTATGGCATAGTTGAGCACGAACTTAATGAGGACGTAATGAATTATATTATTGGATCCTTAATACAAGAAATCAGTAAAAATGATGAGGGCATCGATGAGTGCGTCTATTTCTACCTATACCCAGTAGCATTAATATCAATATGCATCTTTTTCTGTAACATTAACTACCAGGCATGTACAGGACACGTGTTATGCTAATATATGACAACCCTTAAAATTACCTCGTTATTACGAGATAAATATATCATAGTTACGAGGTACTTGTGTCGAAATTACGAAATATTAACTGGTAATTTGATAGTCATAATTGTCCCTAATGGTCTTCAACAATATTAGCTTTTAGGTACTGCATATTTATGCTTGTTGTTTGGAATAAAAACTCGCCATGTGCAATTTCATTGTATTTTTTTCTATTGTTTTACATCGTAATTTCAGAAAACGTAGAGTTAAACATACCTTTAATACTGATCGAGTTATGAAAATTGACAAGACGACTGATGCCTACCAGGAAATACCGAACTTCAGCAGTTATGAAACTATAGTAGATCCAGGATTAAGGTCAACCCTGTCATCTGATCAAGCTGCCACTACCAATCTTGCCGAGACGATTGAAGTTGGTAAAACATGTAAACCTGAAAACCCAGTTTGTCATATTTTACAACCGGGTGAAGATGAAAAGTTACCACGTCACCACCTAAAAGCTGGTGATACATATGACTATATAGGAGAAAACAAGCTAGACTTAACAGCTAGTGATACGTATGACCATATAGGAGTAAAGAATCCAATCCACAAAGACAAGAAGCAATTCGATGCACCCGCCCAACACCCCAGCGTTCCCTTGACAACACTGACAAATTATGAAAATATTAAACTTGGCGACAACTGTAATATCAAAGATGACAGTACATATAACCATTTGTATTCGGATAACAACAAAACTGAACCAGATGCTGGTGTAACAACCAACCTGGGTGATGATGATACATACAACCATTTGCATGACACACCAGCTCATGAAAAACCTGACGTAAGTCTTGATATCATGGAAGATATCTGTTACACAAGACCTGGTGCCATGAACGATAACTCTGAAGATAACGACACATGTAACCACTTGCACGAAGGGTAGGACATGAAACTGAGGTTTTGTGCGAGATAGAATATGTTGACTTTTTTCTAAATGTCGAACACAATAAACTACTACTATGTAATAAATTGTTGTTGTAAATACCCATATGTTATAAATTGTTGTTGTAAATACGGATACATGAATGTTAACTTTCTATCCGATTAAAAATAAATATATGTTAACCTACAGGCAAATGACAGTGCTAATATCACTTTAACTGTTAATGTCTCTTTAATTTTATGCCTTCAGATATTATATAAATTAGTATGTAGACAATTATTCGCTAAACGTGGACATCGAGAATTCGTTTATTATTGCGACAATACTACTTTACATTCACGATTAATTTAGTCAAAACTTCAAATATTCAAAACTTCAAATATTCCTAACTTCACGCAGCAATATGTGATTGTAATTTCCAATATATTCTGTTTTCAATATCCACTTGTATACAATTATACGAAGAACGACTATATTGTTACATAATTCATCTTTAAGTAAAATGATGACTACTTTTTATAGACTAAGCCTTAAATTATACGATGTAAAAGGTGGTGATGATTATAATAAATCCAATCATCCAAACCTCTCATTTTAAATGCACAATATCCCAGACATTGTCAAAACATAAAATTGATTGAAATCGAACAGCCTTATTGTGATCATGTTTCATTGATATCACGCCACAATCTGTATTATCTTACAAATATCAATACAAGCTAGATTTATTAACACGCATCCAAGTGATGGTGATGTTTCTTTTTGTTTTATTTGTATAAAGAACTATGCAGAGTCTTATATAGAAGTATTGTATGACATAGTAATGTTTCTTTTTATTAGCAAATCTATCAAAAAACATCCAGGTGATGATGGTGTTTAACCTAGGTTTGTTTTTGTTTTATATAGAAGTATTATATACTATAGGACTATACCAATGCAATATAACAGTTTTGTATCTATTGTATTAAATTATCTTTGTCACAAAATCGTTTATTACAACTAGTTCCTCTAATAGATCACACATCGATCGTTACGTTAACACAGTATGTTAATACATGACGTTAAGATAAACCGTTCCTTATAAAATATTGAATCGTTCATTAGAATACGTTAAAAGATGATGTGATGATGGTTTTGATGATTACTACGTTTGATGAATACGTTTGATGAGATGATTACATAAGATGACTACGTTTCGTTTTGACGGTTTCTTTACAATAAAAATAATATATCGTTACGATTAAATAATAACACGAGTTTAACATTCTAAATTCAGGACATCGTTACAAATAAACTTAATCGAGTACTAGAGGGGAGAGTTGTCCCTTGTACTTACATGAAAAGCACATGCGCTAAGACATGGGCGATACGACGAGTGTCATTCCTCGAAACAACACAATCATTAATTTATGCAATTAAACCGTAAAACATTTGAAGAACTATACATAATAAATCATGACCAGAAAACATCTATGTACTAAACATATAATCACTAAAAGCTTAATAACATCTTGTGAGGAACTACAGGGCATACGAAGATACGTTTCACATTTTTATAAACGACAAACAATGTCGACTTCGTTAACTACATGACCTTGACCGAAAATAAACTAATATATAGAACAATACAAGGATCATAACATTATAAAATATAGACTCGGATACACCACAAATGAAAACAATGCGAATTCTGCCGTAACAGTATCTTGATATCATATCAGTATCCTTATGACGTTAACATTATTGTATAATATAGTACCTTATATTAATGTTATATAACAGTATTGTAAAATATAATACCCTATATTATTATAATATAACAGATTTGTATTTTTATATCGGTATCACTATAACAGTATTGTATCATATAGTACCTTATATTAATGTAATATAACAGCTTTATATCGGTATCACTATAACAGTGTTGTGTAATATTGTATCTTATATTGATGTAATGATTTATCATATATGATACTAGCAGGATACCCGGCTTCGCTCGGGGGTCATAACTCCGAAACCAGAAGTGGTAGACTAACGCCACCTGGCCTATGTTACTCCCCAGTCCGAGCTACCCCTATACCCCAAATTTCAGACTCGGGGCAGACCTAGTGTAGCCGCCAACCCCGAACAGACCGGCTTCGCTCGGGGGTGAAAACTCCGAAACCGGAAGTGGTAGACTAACGCCACCTGGCCTATGTTACTCCCCGGTCCGAGCTATCCCTATAACCCAAATTTCAGACTCAGGGCAGACCTAGTGTAGCCGCCAACCCCGAACAGAAAGACTTCGCTCGTGGGTCATAACTTCGAAACCGGAAGTGGTAGACTAACGCCACCTGGCCTATGTTACTCCCTAGTCCGAGCTACCCCTATACCGCAAATTTCAGACTCGGGGCAGACCTAGTGTAGCCCCAACCCAGAACAGACCGGCCTCGCTCGGGTGTCATAACTCCGAAACCGGAAGTGGTAGACTAACGCCACCTTGCCTATGTTACTCCCCAGTCCGAGCTACCCCTATACCCCAAATTTCAGACTCGGGGCAAACCTAGTGTAGCCGCCAACCCCGAACAGACCGGCTTCGCTCGGGGGTCATAACTCCGAAACCGGAAGTTGTAGACTAACGCCACCTAGCCTATGTTATTACCCGGTCCAAGCTACCCCTATACATCAAATTCCAGACTCGGGCCAGACCTAGTGTAGCCGCCAACCCCGAACAGACCGGCTTCGCTCGGGGGTCATAACTCCGAAACCGAAAGTTGTAGACTAACGCCACCTGGCCTATGTTATTCCCCAGTCCGAGCTACCCCTATACATCAAATTCCAGACTCGGGGCAGACCTAGTGTAGCCGCCAACCCCAAACAGACAGACAGACAGACAGACAAACGACAGTCACAAATATTAGTATAGATAGATCAGTATACAGAGAGAGAGAGAGAGAGAAATGATGTTTAACGTCCACTCGACACAAACTAGGTCATTTCGGGACTAACATATGGTTTAATTTTATTTCAATAATTCGCTTGCGCGTAGGGTTTTTTAGCAGTGGGGGGAAACCGGAGGACCCGGAGAAAACCCACGAGGTTGGACAGGCGACCCTACTCCTTGTCACGTACAACCGGTATCAGTATACAGTATAACAGTATAACAATATTGTATAATATAGCACCTTATATTAATGTCATAAAACAGTTTTGTATTTTTATATCGGTATCATTTATTTTTGTCTTGATTTATCATATATGACTCTAAACATCGCCGGTGTATATTTAACAGCTAATCTAGATATATTTGGAGTGATGTCCATCAAGATATGCAGCTGTGTTAAACATTTGACAAGTATCAGAATTACATTTAGAAGGAACGGTATGAAAAGTCAAGGTCCCGTGTATAGGTTGGTGTGCACGTAAAATATCCCCTGGCAGATGAAATTAACCAAAAGGTAGACGCAAATACCGCTGTCCTGGAAAGATGACAACTACCCTGTTATACATGGAATATATCCCTCTTGGCTGATGCATTCAAACCCGTTTCGTTTCATTTCATGTTTGTAGATCAAGGGTATTACCCTTTCGTGTGGCAAGAAGGCTATGGTTTAGACTTTAACATAAATATACTACATGTTAACCCCGACACAACCGTTGTTAAACCCCATCCCCCATCCACCCTACTGTTCTATTCCTACCGGGCTGATAAATATGAATAAATAAACATACCACATGTCAGTCCCCACACAACCGGTGTTAAACTCCATTTCTCTCCTATCAAAATTGTCAAATTTATCATATGAAAAATGTTTATTTTTGTTCAGTCGGGTGGAAACCACGACCACACTGATGACTAATATTAAAACACCTGTAGATTGATTTAAACCACGCGACATTACCGTTGTGGTTGTGACATGTGAGAGAAACGGGAGAAGGACTCCTTGTAGGAGGAAAAACACTAGAAATAGTTTTGTGTTGATTGTAACTTAGTTTCAGGTCTCCCCAAAACATTTTTCACAATTTCACAATATAATTTATCAATATCATATGTACTTACAATACATGATCATGTTAACAGTATTGTTATTTTAAGGATGGGTTCCCGCGTATAAACTGGGTGATTTAATGGTATATATATGGACCAAAAACATATTCAAACTAATTAATTTGTCATAATTATGCTTCAAATCCTTCTCAAACATTGTAATTGCGAAGGAATGCCCTGCTTTTTAAATTCGATCAAACCAGGTCATGTTTACGTCACGTCTGGGGAGTCAGAGGAGAATTCATTGCATACATAAAACGATGTTGTCTTTAATAGCTTACTATTTATTACACATATCGAATTTGTAATTAAATTCTCGGATTATCCACTACCCGGGTCTTTTTCCGTCATTTTTATCTCAGAAAGTATTGTACGTCTAACTCTTCATAAAGTTTATCAACTTGTACATCAAGCGCTCAATGTTCGCTTGTGACCTTTGACATCATGCGTGCAGAAGTTCCTAGACCTCGGGTTGTTGATTAGGGGAACCCTTGCATTTTTGTCCTGTATACGCTCCATGAGTGTTTTTCGGGGAATCCAGTATTTTCTAGTAAGATTGGATATCTCTACTTTCCATATATACCAAAATTGCCATACCTTTATTGGAAATAACCACCCGATAAATACTTTTCTGGGAACCCATCTTTAACAGTTCGGCAACTTTTTTTGTATTTCAACCTGAACATGACTAATAATGTCGGTTACAATGACATGGCTATAAATTAAAACATTTTCTATTCAAACTATTATATTACTGTAAAAAGAGACAGTGTTGATGCATATTTAATCTTTCGTGGGTTACTTGAATTTGACACTTACTGAAACCACGATTATAAGGTCACGAATATTTCACAAGTGCTCAATTCATTTTGGTGTGTTTTGAGATAAGCGAAAAAAAAACTTTCCTGTGTCAGCTAGTCCCGACACAACCGGTGATACCCCCCCCCCCCGACACACACACACACACACACACCCACACACACCCATACACACTGTTCTGCTCCTATTGGGATAAAAAAAAAAGATACCACATGTCAGGACTCATACAACCCCATTCCGCTCCTATGCAAGTTATCAAATTCATCATACACGGCTATAAATTAAAACATTTCTATTCAAAGTGTTATATTAGTTATTACCGTAAAAAGATACGGTGTTGATGCATATTTAATCTTCCGTAGGTTACTTGAATTTGACACCACGATTATAACGTCACGACCATAACAAAAGTGCTCAACTCATTTTTTTTATGTTTTGAGATAAGCGAAAAAAAACTTTCCTGTATCTGCTAGATGACATCGATCGAGGATATAGTTTTTGTACTCAAATCATTCATGTTATAAGCCTTATTTATTTCAACAGGGGCGGTTTACTGCAGCGTCAACACAATCAGAGAAAACTATTATCTATTTAAAGTGTTATCAAAATAGTTTTGAGTCGCGCACTGACTTGAGCACGCAAATTTAGTCATATCTGACATGAGCAACACAATAATTAACAGCTGTTTACTTCCGAAGAATATCTTACCACCTATGAAATATGGGCTGGTTTTTTTGGGAGGGATAGTCATTCGGACATAAGACAGTAGTATTGAAAAGGGTCTCAGACATGGATGGGGGTTACACAGGTCCGCCCCCTTTTTTTATTGGATTTTTATTTTAGTGAATATTATAGATGGTCCACCCACAAGCTACAAAGGCATCACTGTCCATAATACGCGAAGTTACAGTCCAATATTTGCGAATATAGAAAGCAGCCGAGATCCTCCGGATATAAAAATATATTTTAAGTTTCATCAAAATCGGATACACATTGGGACCTTTAGAGAATCCACAACCTTGGTATTACGTTCTTTTACACTATTTGCGTAAGAGGAGCAGCCATTTGGTCGGGTAGTGTTTGTCGGATATTCATGAAATTCGAACACAATCGTAGTTGTATGTTTAAAGGATTTCAAAATCCAATAAAATTGTGACCTCCAGAGAGACCACAAGCTAAACACGTTATAATCCAGAAAGTTACAGGCCGATATGCGCGAATGTCGACAGGAACCGAGATGTTTGGGCTATAAAGATACATTTTAGGTTTTATCACACTCGGATACAAATTGTGACCTTTAGAGTGTCCACGATCTAAAAACAAATTGTAGACTGTGGAATGACACGGATAATGGCAATATACGTCCAGATAAAAAATGAGGGCGTATAAAAATGCAAATGTTAGGTTACCAAGAAGTTTAATTTTGCTTTAAGATTTCTGTGGGCGAACGTCCGGAAAGACAGGGTCAACGACAATAAACATCCACACAAAAATGAGGGTGCATAAACATGCACATGTCAAGCATCTAAAGTCATTCTGGAAATATATTATTTGGCATTGATCTTAATGAAGTAATTGGGATGTAGTCGGTAAATACAACTTGAAATCTAATTTTTATTACCGTTTCCATATAGCTCTGTTCTAACCAATGTTTGTTAAAAAATCCATCCAAGTTAGCTGTTTTATTTAATACAGCATATTCGGTAATATTCTGATAATAACACCGAGGAAAGTTTGTGTGATAAATATAACAGTCGCATCAATATCAGATATCATACAACTTTGTCTTAGGCCTACCTTTAACAACACTCGACTTTATCAGTTAAAATAAACGTGTACCAGGATAAAATTATAATATGCGTCATTTAAGATACAGACACTTCCTGTATCGAATTTAAACAGAGATTATTGTCTGTTTAACCATGCTGTGATCATTAGCTCAGCTATTTAG